CCAATAGCATGTCATCCACATAAAGGAGTAAATAAAGAAAATTTTCTCCACCATTTCCTTTACAATATAGGCAGGTATCGAAGTTGCTTCTCTTAAAACCAAGTCCAAGTACAAAATTGTCAAATTTTTTATACCATTGCCTTGGAGCTTGTTTTAAGCCATATAAGGATTTTTTATGAAGGCAAACTAAGTCAGACTTCTAATTTACCTCAAATCCTTTGGGTTGTTTCATGTAAATGGTTTCGTCTAGATCACCATTTAAAAAAGCTGTTTTCACATCTAATTGATCTAGCTCCCAGTTAAACTGTCTGGCTAAGGCCAAAATAACCCTAACATTAGTAAATTTTACAACGGGTGAGAAGATTTCATTGAAATCTACTCCTTCTTTTTGGGTAAAACCCTTAACCATCAGTCTAACTTTGTATTTTATATCATTTTCACTTTGTTCACCTCTTTTAATTTTGAAAATATATTTACAGTCAACAACCCTTTTTCCTTCTGGTCTTTTTACCAAAACCCAAGTTTTATTCTTTTTAAGTGATTGCATTTCATCTTGCATTGCTGCAAGCCATTCCTTAGAATCTTTACTATTTATGGCTCTCTCAAAGGACTCGGGCTCATTTTCAATCATACTTTGATAAGATAGCAAATATACATCTTCATCAAATCTAACAGGAGGCCTTATTTGTCTTCTTTGCCTATCTCTAGCAAGTTGATAATTGTCTAAAGGCTGATCAGTTTCTAATTCAGTTTCAGATTCATCATTAAGAATACCATCACCAGGTATCTCCTCATTTCTCTCATCAGGTTGTGTAACATTCTAATGATTTTCATCATCAGATTGCTCCACCTCAATTTCAACTCGCTTTTCTACACTTTCATCTTGACTTTAGGGCTCTATTTTGTTTTCAAATTTAAGGCAGAGCAGATCATCTTCATTAAATACCACATTTCTACTGATTATTATCTTATAGCCTTTGTTTTCCCTTACCCATAGCCTATACTCCTTCATCATAGCCCAAGAATACACATTTAAGGGCCTTAGGTTCTAATTTTCCTTCAAACTGGTGTGCAAAGGCTGCACAACCAAATACCCTCAAGTTACTGAAAGTCAACTGGTTTTCCTCTCCATATCTCTTTAGGGGTTTTAAAGTGTATAGCAATAGAAGGGCTTTTATTAATCAGATAACTAGCAGTTTTAACAGCTTCCCCCCAAAAAATCTTTGGAAGGCCTGAACTTAAAAGCATACATCTCACTTTTTCAAGAATTGTTCTATTCATTCTTTTGGCCAAACCATTTTGTTGTGGGGTGTGTGCTACTGTTCGATGTCTTAATATACCAGGAAATTTGCACAACTCATTAAATTCAAGATTACAGAATTCCAAACTATTATCAGTTCTTAAGACCTTAATATTTTTGTCAATTTGGTTCTCAATCAAAGTTTTCTAGTCCTTGAAAACACCAAAAGTATCAGATTTTGATTTTAAAAGAAAAGTCCAATTTTTTCTAAAAAAATCATCAATAATTGACAGGAAATATTTAAAATCAATATGAGTTGTTACAGAAGCTGGTCCCCAAAGATTAGCATGCAAATATTCAAGTATAGACACAGATTTATGCATTTCATGCAAGAAAGGTAATCTATTATGTTTTTCAAGAATGCAATAGTCACAAAAACTGAGTTTTTCTATGTTATCCTTTCCAAAGGCATCCTGATTTTTCAAAATCTGTAGCCCTTTGTCACTAATATGGCCCGATCTTTTATGCCATATATGTGACTTATCATTTTGAACTGAGATTGCTGCTGATGTGAATTTTAAAAAAATTTTAGTTTGTAAAATGTATTGGTCATGTCTCTTTGGGGCTTCAACAATTACTTGTGAACCCCTTAAGATTTTAATGTATCTCTTGTTAATCAATATGTCATAGTTTGGGTCATCTAGAACCCCTAAGGAAATAATATTTCTTTGTAAATCAGGAACATATCCAGTCTTTTTCAAGACCAGTTTATTATTTCCTTTTACTTTCAAAGTGATTGTTCATATTCCTTTAACCTGACATGTCATGTGATTACCCATTCAAACCTTACCACCAGTTACATTTTCAAACTCAGTAAACCATTCTTTGTTTGAACACATATGGTAGGAGCAGCCCAAGTCAAGAATCCACTCTTGACAAGGTGGACAACTTACAGCTACATAAATTTCATCAATTAAGGTCTCATTATTGTAGGCTAAGGCTGCACCACCATCATCTTTAGATTTATTTTTCAAATCACCAAGTCTTTTGGGACAATTTTTGATAAAATGACCGTCACTAAGACAATAGAAACACTTCTTTCCTTTAGTCTTCATTTTCATTTTATCCATAGGATTTACCTTTTTTTTGTGTCCAAGTTTTTTGTTAAAATTCACAGTCTTGGGATTAGACTTAGTCTTAGCCATCAATTTCTCCCCATTGACAGATTCTCTCTTTTCAAACTTTAACTCTAATTCCTTATTTCTTAAAGCGTTATGATCACATCAGCGATTAGAGTTTCCTTCCCACATTCAATTTTACTTTTAACATCTTTATACTTATCACCAATTGAATTTAGCAAGACTACAGCCAACTGATCTTTTGAGAGTTTCTCATCACAATCGGCTAGGTCACGAGATAGTCTATTAAATCTATCAATATTAGCCTCAAGATCAAGTGATGGGTCAAGTTTAAAACCAAAGAACTGTTTCAGAAGATACACCTTTGTTCAAGTATGTATCTTCCAACTTTTTCCACAACTCAGCAGCAGTCATAGTCTCACCAATTTCTCTAAGTACATTGTCAGATAAATGCAGAAAAATTGAACTCCAAGCAATTTCATCAAGTTCAGTTTTCTTGGTTTCTTCTAAATCATCAGGCCATGTTTCATCAATAACTTTAGCACATTTTTGTTGTAACAAAATTGCCCTCATTTTCTGGCGCCAAAGACTGAAGTCTCCTTTGCTATTAAAAATATCTACTTCAAATTTTGTATTTGTCATTGTTTTTGAAAAAATTTGAATGCAGACACACTATATGTAGATCAGGTAGACACTTCACAGATACTTACAACTTAAAATCAATTCAAGTATCACCACACAGGAGATATGAATATACAGTAATCACAAGTTGTAAGGAACTTCAGGTATTTCGCAGGAATTGTTCAAAATCTTGGAGTCACATCATGTTTTTCACAACACAAATCACATTTAAGTAGCAAGAACCAAGATTATACACTAATAAGTATCACAGCAGTATATCAATATCAAGACCTTTGACTTAAGTCAAGGTAACCCTCAGATTCCAGACAACTCTAGGGTTTCTGGACAAAGGAATTACCCTGTCAGTTGCAGATCAAGGATTTAACTCACAGTTGCAGCAAACTTAAGTGTATATACAATTTAATCTGAAATATTAATTGAAAAACAGAACAATCTTACCAGATCCCTTCATTAGGATTTCAAGAAATAACGAATGTTAGCTAAACTTGAGTGTCACAGTTTTAGATCTACAAGAACAGATTCAAGAACCTCCGTTCAAGAGCTCTGATACCACCGTAAAGAGAAGGTTCAACAAATTAGGCAATTATTATAACAAGCTACTAAAAAAAACATGCATTAAAAGCTGAAGTAATAAATTGGACAGAAATTAAAGATCGATTTCCGCTATTTTCCGCAAGGCAAAATACACCAAAAATCCACAAAACTTCTCGCCTTTGGAAGAATCATGAGTGCTTCCGTCTCCAAGAGCACACCGCTAGTATGAATCTCGAAACCAAAGGGTTCGAAATAAGGGTTTTTGGCACTTAGACCGTAGCCACACAAGATCACAGTAAAGAGCACATCCTTCCCTCAAAACCGAAAGTTCACACAAGAACACAACCCTCTAGTAGTAGAAATCACCCAAGATAACACTATTTTTGAGTTATAGAAAAAATCAAACGAGGGTTTTGAATTTTTCAGAGAGAAGACGAAGAAGTCTCGCAGCCAGAGAGAGAAAGAAGAATCTGGAAGAATGAAAAATTGAATCTCACACGTGAAACCCTAGTGGAGCCTTATATAAGAGTCACCAATGGTCAGCCATCTTACGGTTGAGGGATTAACAAATGGCATCATCTCAGGCATCCATTTAAATGTCAAAATGCGGTTTTAAAAAAAAGAAACACTTTTTTCTTCCAACAAGAATTTTTAACAAATTTAACAAAATTCAACCGATCAACACATTAAGTCAGTAAGGGGTTGCTGCATCATTGTGCCACCCTTTCAATTGGAAATCTGAGATCATTGCCGTTTGTACATTTCATCAAACGTGGTAGGCAGATTTGAAAGTTGCATTAATTTTCCTTGCACACGGATATACCTAGTATGGACAGGAAAGGTGATAACTATAACAGAAAAAGAGGAGAAAAATGCTACTTGCTCCACAAGGACGGCGGCAAACGAGGCAGTGACTAAGTGGGGGATATGGTAAGTGGTAAGTATGCCGTAACAATATATATAAGGGCTTGTATTACTCCGCTTAACAAAGTTACCTCTAAGATGAAACATCAATCTTAATATGATATCAGAACTCATTAAATTTAGAACTTAAAATTTGATCCAATTAAGATGAAAAAAAAAAAAATGAACATTCGTATCTCAAGATTGGACATTCGTATCTCAAGATTGGCGGCATGTTAACTAGATAATGTGCATGTATGTAGACTAAATTGTTAAGCTAAAATTGATGGGATGGGGATACCAAATTTGTGCAATTAAACAACCTTTTAGCTTCATTTTTCTCGACAGAACCGTTTTTTAGCTACTTTTGTTGATAGTACGTAGAGACATTCTACCGAGAAAAGCAGCTAAAAACATGGCCATTAAGCACGGCCAAACACCCTCTTAGTCGAACACGCACAGTGTCCTGCAATAGAAAAGGTAGAACACTACATTTGATCTATGTAGAAAATAACAAGAACAAATCTACAGCATTTCATTGATTAATCATAAAATCCAAACAATACAATAAAATATCATCAAAGAGCCTTACAAAGAATATTTTGTGTCAAATAATAACTATAAATCAGATAAACCTTGTTATTATCTGGCTAATTCTACAGTTTCAAAACAAGAACTTAACAGCATTTCCTGTGAGTGGTATCCAAGTTTCAATCTCTCCTATATTGCAGTATAATGAATATGCCTTATCTCTATAAGAGACGTGTGCAGAGCTTGTATTTATTGATTTATGCCCTTCAATTTTGCTTAGAGTAATACCATAGTTTTTTCTGACAAATTAGAATCTTCTCCTTATCAGAACCATATTCGGTGTCTTCTCTACGACATCCCCATCTCATCCCCTTGGCTATGGTAGCAACAGATTCAACAAAATAGCTCGATTCCCGGATGATCACGTACCCATTTGGCCGGAGGATTCGATCCATCTCAAGAAGAACGTACTTCACTTCGCACCTTGCCATGGATAAATATGTCAATACTACAATTCTTGCTAGTAAAAAGCAATTGAAGAAAAGCCTTCACTGATTGTACATCATTTTGCAAGTGAATTTTTGGTAATAAACAAGATTTTAGCTTATTTTTCTTCCGTACTAGCTCCAGTGCTATCTAATCCTCCCTACCAAGATGCCATGAGATAATGGTTATGCAATGAAAATAAGAACAAGTGTGATGCAGCCACAAGACCTTTGGCCTCAAGTAATTTTATTGTACTACTAGGTCAAGGTGTTCAAGGCAATCTAGATTTAAGCATGATTTAATTTGTAAATTATGCAGTTTGGTTAGAAACTTTAATAAGGTAGCGGATGTACTGACATCTAATTGAAAATAATAATCGAACAATTTGAGGTCACATTCTTCTTAGCAATTGTAAGAATTTGCAGGACATTATCATTAACCCCAACAGTTCGCCTAATTTGTAGTTGAGAGTTCTAAAATAGGAAAGGAATTTGATAATTTGTAGGGTATGGTATCGACCAATGTACATCTACACGAACTCATCAAAGAAAGATGGTGTCGGTGCCATACCTGTGACTTTCAGCAGTGAAAAAACCATCTAGATGAAGGAGATCATATGTTCGAGGATATGTGGAGAAAGCCTCACACCTGGAAAATTATGATAGAGCAAGTCAATAAAATTCAGACAAGTAACATGAGAACATTTATGCAGATACATCATTTCAATTTCCACGAAAATTACCAGTCATGGTAGGTTCCTATGAGGCCCCTGTCATACACAACAGGAAGTGTATTTGCAGCATAGGAGGAAACTACATTCATGACCCACAAGGGATAGTCAGTTAAAGCAGCAGCAAAACCTCCATACAGAGTGTTCATGTCCATCACATTTCTTATTTTATCCGTCCCGATTGCAGGGACCAACTTCTTGTAGTGCTTCACCCGTGTTATCCATTTGCTGTCATCATGGTTAAAAGCACCATCGCTACCGCCACGAACATCAGAAACACGCTCTGGAGCAGCATGAAGTCTTTGTGGCCATTTTGGGAGGGATTTTAAAGCTACTTTCTTGTACTTGGGATTCGGAGAAACAACACAGGGCCGAATTGGAGTGTACCATGCAGAATCTGGTTCGGTACCATCATCACACTTTGGGGGGTAAATGTCGGGGTTCTCAAGCCTTTTATAGCAACTGTTATCAGATAACTTCTGCCAAACAGCAATGTCATCTTTTTTGTTATATAACTTGAAACACATTGAAGTTAGCAATTCTTGCAACTTTTCATAATCTGATCTCTGTTCTTCAATAGTTGTGTTCCATCCTCTCCACCGGTGCTCGTAGTTTACTGGGGGACCCGATAGTACCCAGAAACCCCCTGGCCGAAGTATACGATGCACTTCTAGAAGATAAATTCCACCTGAAAATGATGATAATTAGAATACAAGATTAACATCAACCTATGATAATAGTAAATCAACCACACTTAAATGTTCAAGCGTTGATCCTAGCCACCATGATGACAATCTTATGGAGACATATACAAGGAAAAACACAATAAGTACATTAACGATCAAGAGAACCTCAAGCCTGTTAAGAATCACAGGCGTTGACAACATACTTGAACAAGATTTCATGTTTAACTTATCATGTTGAAGTTTGAACAGACGAACGAGGTTTGGAGGCAGGGGAGAAAAACAAAAACAGTCCTAAGTGCTAACTTATGTGGGATGGTAGAATCTTTGTTTAAATTTTGAACTCTGTGAAGGTGTTTACCAAATTCAGTCCATGGAATAAGGCATCTTGAGCAATGTGCGATGTCAAAAGAATTCGAAGGGAAAGGAAGTCTCTGTGTCGAGATGATGCCCAGAATTGCTGGAATTCCACGTTCCAGAGCAAATTGAACTTGAGCCTCATGATTATCTCTCGGGGCAAGCGAGACTGTTAGAATCCCACGATCCAATAAATCACCTCCCCAGCTTGCAACCTAAACACGTGAAGAGAATACAAAAATGAATCTCAACGATAAATTTAACAACTACATGTTTTCTGAAGGTTAATTTTCCTCTCTCTTATATTACATACAATATTCACTTTCCACGAGCATTAGAAAGGGTAGCAGTGATCCGCAAGCATTGGTCTAAGGTTGTTGGTATATAAATAGTGTAAATAACGATATTTTAATCTTTTAGAACCAATGTGTTGACATTAATAAGAAACAGATCGTATTAGATTACAAGCACAAAAAGAAGAGGACTTACCCCGCACCCAGTATCAATTGCAGTCCGAATAGTTCCATCTTTCATTCCCGGTATCAGATCTTGCATCAAATCAACATAAGCACTAACACCATTGGGGAACATGGTGCCGCCACCAGGGAAGAAGAACTTTTCCCCTTCTTTCCTAAGCCAGTGTTGATTCGACTTTTGTTTGTTAATCCAGTTGTATGGAACATTTCTGAGATCAATTTAAATAATAAATTGAGTAAGATTTTATGGAAGATAATAGTCATCCATAAAATTCACCAAACTGGTTCTAGATGAAATTTTCCTTTTTAAGTTCTGGAAAAATGCCTATCACCTGTACCAGCATTCATCTCTGCTCTTAGGCCATCTGATGGGTAACTTATAGCCATCAGGAGGGGGAATTAAGCATTCCTTCCTTTCAAATATAGGAGGGCAATGGCGCTCTAGAAAAGTAAGCCGGTGAAGACCGTACTTCTTCCATCTCTGCATCAAGTAATCCATATAAAATTTGAATGCATAAAAACAAAATCTTAGATCAAAAGACAGATTAAACACCATGAGATAAATCAACAAAAATTTAAAAATTACCCTTGGATCTGTGCATGGCGTGTAGTCCTGATACTCTATGCTGCATACGGAAAAGGTTACGGCTTTTGCTTGGAGAGTGCCGGTGGCCATATCCTGGGCAGTATCAATCGCTTCAGTGGTGTCATCAGTTACATATTTGTTCTTCTCTGAACAAAATATTCCACCAAGATAGAATGAAAATCCACACAGCACCAAAAAAACTATTGCCATGGGGACCGTCCTGGAACTTTTATCTGGTGGAAATGGTTTTCCATCTTTGTGCTTCATGATCTCAGAATTTATTTATCTGCTCACATACAAGTTATAAATTAGTCAGTAGTTGAGATCAATAAATTTACAATCATCTGCGGCAGTGCAAACAATAATTGCTAGTCAAGGGAAAGATTTAGTTCAAGAGATATATCGGATCTTGAATGGAAAGTTCAAGCTACAAGTGAACTAGAACGGATACCACGGAGAAAGAAAACGTAAGGTTCAAGCAGATCTGGAGGTGAAAATAAGCCATTATGAACTGGATATGAGGCCTCTGTGAANTCTGCATCAAGTAATCCATATAAAATTTGAATGCATAAAAACAAAATCTTAGATCAAAAGACAGATTAAACACCATGAGATAAGTCAACAAAAATTTAAAAATTACCCTTGGATCTGTGCATGGCGTGTAGTCCTGATACTCTATGCTGCATACGGAAAAGGTTACGGCTTTCGCTTGGAGAGTGCCGGTGGCCATTTCCTGGGCAGTATCAATCGCTTCAGTGGTGTCATCAGTTACATATTTGTTCTTCTCTGAACAAAATATTCCACCAAGATAGAATGAAAATCCACACAGCACCAAAAAAACTATTGCCATGGGGACCGTCCTGGAACTTTTATCGGGTGGAAATGGTTTTCCATCTTTGTGCTTCATGATCTCAGAATTTATTTATCTGCTCACATACAAGTTATAAATTAGTCAGTAGTTGAGATCAATAAATTTACAATCATCTGCGGCAGTGCAAACAATAATTGCTAGTCGAGGGAAAGATTTAGTTCAAGAGATATATCAGATCTTGAATGGAAAGTTCAAGCTACAAGTGAACTAGAACGGATTCCAATTGAGGTGATTCAAAATTCATTGGAAAGCTAACTCAAATGGCTATAATTTCATATACTATCAATTTTCAAATTCGAAAGTTTGCTACGCAAAAAAAAAAAAAAAAAGCCTAATTCAATCAATATATTGTGAAAGAGCAACCTAAAGCACATGAAAGATAAAAAGCATCATTCCATACAAAATTATATACATGTACACAAGCATACAATCGGAAACTCAGCTGCGATTTATTTTTTTTTAATCATTTCTTACCATAATAAAAGTTGCAATTAGATAAATGATCCAATCAAATGATTTTTGCAATAAAGAACGCAAAAAAAATATATGCATAAAAAATAATAAAGATTCAATATTTATGTTCCTTATGGCTTAATGATCAAATCTTTCAATGTAGAATTACCCTAACTTCAAGGCAAAGAGAAATTCCCTAGTCCAAAATCAGATCTGATGGCCAAAAATAAAGATAACCCTATTAGTATGTATGCCAAAATATAAAGAAAAACGAAAAAAGAAGATAGCATTGGCAATTCAGAGTTTCAAACAAGAAACAGAGAGCAAAATATGAATGTATTCGCGTAAATCAGAATTAAGAACTGACCCATAAATGACACAGAAACAAGAAAATCAGAGCCATGAACAGGACTAAAATATAAATGTGCGAGATAATAAGAGAATCAGAAATTACCTTCAATACACACACCCTTAACAGAGTATCAAAACAAATGTTAAGAACAACTCTTTACTTTGAAGAATCCAAGAACCCAACAAAATTTAGGGGTGGCAAAAGAGCGATCCCTCCTATTCCTACATACACTGAGAAATTATTTTAGAAGAGAATGAAAGAGAGGGACTTTACCCTGCTATCATACAGACTCACAGCCCCTTCTTACACATATAGAAATGCTAAAATGCATCTGTATTATATAAAGAGATAAACTCTTGATAATGAACGACACTTTTCATTCCTTGTGCCTCGCTAGCTGTCTTCTTTCTGGATTATTTTTTATTGCAATTTTAAAGAATCTCTCTTTCTGTGTTCTTACTTCTCTCTCTCATTGTGGGGGTGAATTTGGAGTATGTCATGACGGGTGAAAGATGAGGAAGAGAGTGATTTGTGTGGACTTTTGTTTCTTTTCCACTTTTTTCTCTCTATTTTTTCTTTTTCTATTTAAATTTACTTTGGCATTTTTTTCCTTCCTTTTTTTTTTTTTTTTATAAATTTGGGCCCATTTGTTTCCCATTAATGTAAGAGTGAGAATGAAAAATATAGTCGTTACGAGTCTGACACAAAAAATAGAAATTCAAATATGATAACTTGAGAATGAAAATAAGAATGAGAATGAAAAATATTAGTCATATTTTTCATTTTAATGGCTAAATAATGAAAAATAAACAAGAGTTTCGTTACTAAATTAGACATTAAAAATGTAGAATAATGTTGTCTAATCTCATCAGTGGTAAACATCCATTTGTGTGGCAACATATGAAGCTGGATAATGTCGCTCGAAAAAGTATCCATTGTTCTTCTCGACTTGCAAAGTTAATTATCCAATAAAAAATAATCATGCTGTGATTGGTAAGGATAAGACAGTTGAAATCAATAGTACTATGTAATATTACTCAAAACGGGTTGATCCAAGAAAAAAATAGATTTTGGAACTAAATAAAAACTTTATTTTTTCAGTTAAGTTGATTCGTTATTGTTGAAGTACTGAAGTAGGAAATGTCTTATAATCCTAATCTCCCATTGCCCAACTACAAAAATTTCGTGTGAATCATTTGATGAGAAAACGAATTTAAAGAAAAAAAATAAAAGAGGAAGGTATACATGCATAAAAGACACGATTTTAAGTCATGTAAACTCATATACATTGGAAGTAGAAATTAAAATGAGTTAACGTGAGTTTGAGTCTCTGTTCATGCAACATTATTTGTAATTTAAAAGTTGCTCTTACTATCCAATCAAAATCAAATTTTATAGTCTAATCGTATATTCAAAACAATTACTCATTATTATCCACAATTTCGTGATCTAAGCCATTGTTTCTCTTTAAAAAAATCTTAAAAACTTTATTATTCAACCCACAAGTCTTTCGCTGAATCGTTAATGCCTCCTAAGATAGCAATGAGGACGCAACGGTTGGCCGTCTGACGAGCCTCACTCTCATTGAAAAAATGATGTGCACTACACCACTAGCCTTATGGAATAAGGCCACTTGTTTTGATAATTTATTTTTTAAACATTTTACAGAAATGCAAGTATCTTAGAAATTGATTTTAGAAAAGTAAAAAATGCTAGGATAATTTATAATTTGGCTTGCGTTTGATTTATTTAAAAACCATATTTTTAGTAGATTTTGATGAAATTGATGAAATGTGTAATTGAAATGTTGATAAAAATAATGAATTTCATAAAATACATAAATAAAAAAACTTTTAATTTTAATTTTAATTTTAATTTTAATTTTAATTTTAATTTTAATTTTTTATCAATATTTTAAAGTCGAACTAGGGGCTTAATTTCATTACTACATGAGGACATCATGAACTACACAAATTTATATATCCCAATTCACATGGTTTTTGATTTTTAGTGATTAATGGGCCATCAATAGACAGGGGTCCTGTTTTCTATTTTCTATGTAGTACCTTGTCGGTAACTATAACTTCTTTTTTAGAGAGAGGAAAAAAAGGCGGAGCCGAGTCCTCTCAATCAATGAATATTGATTTAAGTATCATTTTCAACATTAACATTGAACATTAATAGTCATTTTTTATAAATTATAATATAATTTTATGATAAATTTTACATGATTAAAGTCGCAATTTTAGCTTATATTAAGTACCGATAACATGACACACCAATTGATTGATGAATCATTAAATTCATGAAACTAATTTGCTATATTTATTTGATGAGCGAGTTTTTATTTTTGATAATTTCTAACACAAACTACATAAATGACTCGTCTCAGATCAAATTATTGGAAGAAAAATAAACCCGTGAAATTAATGTTAAATTAAACATTCTTTAACACAATTTCACATTCCTAGGCGTGAGAACTTCGTTTAGCTTACTTTACCTCAATACTACTAATTACCATACTCTTTTAGCTTACTTTACCTTATTGCTTACTAAAGATAGATAGTGCTATTTGAACTTTAACAACAAAATAAAAAGTTTGAGCTTCGACGTTGATATTTCATTTGAAGTTGGACCAAGTTGCAATCTCATTTCAATTATTATATTTTGTTACATCATCATGTGGAAAACAAATCAACTAGTATGTTTGGTCCATGAGCATATGATATCATTCTTCTTTTTCATGTAGTTAAAATATATTTTTAGTAAATTTTGATGAAACATGAAATTGAAAAGTTGATCAAATTTGCGGCTTCGTATTGAAAATTAATTATTAGCTTTGATTTAATTTTTTTATCAACTTTTTAACTACACCAAATAAAGACATATTGCGTGCTTAGGCACTCAATATCGTACAAGTCGAAAAGTAGACGGAGAAAGAAAAGTAAAAATGAAATAAAAAGTGAAAAAATATTAGTCAATAAAGATTGATTTCAATATATTTTTGACATTCGAATGATTCAATTGTGGCGTGTACATGATTTGATATAAGCATTTAGGAAAGTTGCATGTTAAATAGAGTTTTTAATATTTTTAATTTTACTCTTACTTATCTCTATAAATACAATTATATAAATTTAACATGATGTCAGACTCAATTATCTTCGCCCGTTTGAAATAGATTTTTCAAGTAAATTGAATTTTGGGAAAATTACATAAATCCAAGGGTTTAAACATCACAATTCAAACATCAGAGCTAGAGTTTCATTATGCAACAATCAGGTATTGATTTAATAATTTAAATATTAATTTCTTCCAATTCAATTTCCCCAATCATAATTTCACGTTTTGTTTTCTCTCTCTACCATCTCCATATTCTACCTCCTCTCGATCATGAAACACCACCGTCGGCAACGATTCACGATGACAACGACGATCACGACGAAGGTGACGCTCAAAAGCATCCTCACCTGTGGCTATTCTATTGGTTTTCGCTCTCTTCTCCTCTACTTCGCGACCACGAATAGGGTTACAGTCGATCTAGGTAGGTTACAACTTACAGGCGATAGTGGTGGATTTGACCGGTGGTGGTGTATGCGCTTGTGCAGTGGTGTTGTTGTTTGCAGTTTGGTGACGGTGGTGTTGCAAAAATGGTGGTGGCGGCGGCGGTCTTCAACTGTGAATTTGATTTTTGTAGTGGGTGTGGAATAGTTTTGGGGCTTGTGCTGCTGGTGGTAAGAGTGCTGGCTGCGGGTGTGAGGTTGTGGTGGCGATGTGTTTGGTTGGCGATGGATTTGGATGATGTCTTGTGCGATGACGGTGTCTTGTATGGTGGTGGACTCTGTACAGCATGGATGTGGGTACGGTGGTGGCGTTTGTGGTTGGCTTTCTTGGTCGGTGTTTTGTTGGAGGTTGTGGTGGTGTGGTGAAGGACACGGTGGTAGTTTTTGTTGGTGATTTAGTTTAGGCGGCGATGGTGTGGTTCAGATGGCAATGGTGGTGGAGTATTTGTGACCATGTACTGAGGTGGATCGAGATCGGTGTTTGATGTCTGTGACCGACAATTAATTTGTGACCTTGAAATTCGATCATTTTATGACTAAAAAATAATTTGTGACCATCACATTCAAAAATACGTGACCCGTGACTTATAATATTTTGGATTTATAACCATTTGTGACCTATAGTTGTGACTCGTGACCTATAATTTTTTAGATTTGTGACCAATGACATAAGCCGTGACTCATAAAATTGATGGATAAATTGTGATCCGTGACCACGAAATAATCTGTGACTTATCAAAGTTTTAATTCGTGACCTCGAAATAATTTGTGACCAATAAATTTGAAGATATGTGATCAGGAAATAAATCTATAACCTATAAATGTGTACACGTGATCATTAATTGTATAATTGTAATTATATTATATTTGATTAATAAATATTTTTAATTAATTAGATAAAAATATGATTTTTGCATTAGTTAAACTTTAAACATGATTTTTGAATTGTGCATAGTTAATACATGGTTTATGGATTTTTCTCTTGAATTTTTGGTCTAGCTTTGTGGGCCTCATATAGAATAAATTAAAGTTTATTTATCGAGAAACAATTAGACTTCTGATATTTTTGAGCTCCATTACATCAACTAATTTCCATCACAATCTCGAGTGCGCGTGAAAAGATGTGGGGATTAAAATTAAATTTTGATAGAAGTTTTTCAAATGTGTGATTGAAAAGTTGTGGAACATATTAAATATGTGATTAATATTGATTGTTTAACTTTGACTTAAATTAAAATCATATTTTAATTCGAACCAAACAGAGGCTTAGTAACCTTGTATAGCTGGGAAAAAAAATTATAATTCGACACTAATTAAGTCCCTTACTGAAAAAATTAAAAAAAGAAAAAAGAAAAATATACGAGTGAATGAGAGAAATGATAAGCATGCACGACGTCGCTTTCTGAAATAATAATGAAACCCCACACGACCGACACATTTGTTTCTGTGTCTGAATTTCTTTTCCTACTTTATTCTTTACTCGGCCATTATTATTACAATTGAAAACTTTATCACTAGTATTCACTTTACCATGGGAAGCCTTGTGATTCTCATAAATATTAAACTGTTTGACCAATTATCTATCTAGTACCAATTTTGACTACGTCAAGACAAATTCTTTAAAAATTATTTTTTTAATTCAATTTTAATCACATCTTCTTTCAGCAAAATAATTATACAAGCAAATTCATATTTTTTTTCGTACTTTTTAATCACATATTATCCTAAAATATCATTTTTGAAAGAATCTATTCTAAAAAAATCTAGAAAACGAATCTTTAATTATTTCTACTCCGATGTGATGTCAAGTTTGAGATATCTCATCTCTTATCTTCTTAGCTTATTTTTCATGTACATTAATGACAAACTCAAGATAAGTCAACAAGACACTGTGTTTGAGTCTCTAGAATTCATTTTCAAGAAAATTGAAAATTGAGCTAGATACTTATGTAAACAATAAGAATAATACTATTTGCAGTCGCTCACTACGACAGTCGCCTTACGTGGTATACACATGGCAGGTGGTTATTTGATGCATTAATGAATAAAAAAAACTACCATATTAATGCATCAAATAATCACCTGCCATGTGTATGCCACGTAGGGCGACTACCGCAGTGAACGACCACAAATAGCATTACTCAAACAATAAATATAGAAGTTTCAAGGATGATTGACAATCAATCCTTATGTGATCCGAATTGTTAATCTTTTTCAAGAATTAGACCCTTGATCTTAGAAAGTCGAGAACTTTAGTTTCAATGAAATCTAACCGAAAAAGATTCAAGTATGAATCAGCATCAATATGCATAAAATCCTATGCAATCAATCGTAATTGATTAAGTATACATGTCAAATCTTGCACAATCAATCTTAGCGTATCCCTTAAACATTAGACAAGCTCGACGAACACGGTCGAACACCTTTATCCCAAGTTACCTCGAGGATTACTCAAAATCGAACTTTCCCCCTAAAATAAGTTTGAGTTGATTCTTTACTGTGCTCGGAAACATTAGATACATATTCTTTTATCAACTATTCACACAGGATTTTCTGGATGAAAATATCAAGCTCTTAACTGTAGTATAGTCCAACTATCTTGTGTCCTTGTTTCGGCTTCATTTTTTATAAAATTTATTTTTCCTCAATCATATATTCGATCAATAAAATAATTTTCAAGTAAACTCAAAATATTTCTTTACTTTTTAACCACACACTTTTCAAAATTATTATTACAAAACTCATGTTCACAATACAATAAGATCGAACAGGGGGCTCTATAATCCGATGGTCGAAATAAAATCATCGGCACGTTGCAAGCCCACATGGAATAATTAATAGACGATGACAGCCGTTGATTTATTATTTAATTTGTTGAGATCAACGCGTCATTAGTACAGTGAAATATAATTATTTATTTATGCCCCACCCCTAAGTCCTAACCTACCAAAATAAAGGCAAAAGGCATGTAATAGCATGTGCCGCTCCATGTGAGAGGATGGCGAGTGTACATTAGACTATCTAACAAAATGTCGTAGTCACCACGGCATGGCATAACTGCATAAGCGGCGCCGGTTGAATTACACTATGCATAAAAATAAGATAGGTTTATCGAGGCCCCTCATAGGATGATCGAGTTAGTAGAATAGGTGAGCGCGGAAGCCTTTGGTCACGAATTCAATTCCCTCTACCCAGGGGCGGACCTAGGGGGGGTTTATAGGGGCAATTGACCCCCTAGATTTTGGGGGAAAAAATTATTGCTTAGCTTTTCTTGTTTTTTTTCCTTAGTTTTTTTTATTATAAGATACCCTATAAATTTTATTTTTGCCCTCCTAACCCAAGTCGTCTGGGTTTGCCCCTGCCTCTACCAACACTTTCTTGGTCAAGCATGTCGCACAAGATTTGCCTAGTACGGTTTACTCGATTAGTGTGGTTTGTAGGCTATTGCTTCAGCTCGAGAGCTTATCCAGTACACATCTGAAGGGTAGCGGATGTGAGTTCCCCCGTTATAAAAAAAAAAAAAAAAAAAAAAGGTAGGTTTATCGAGTCACTATTTGAATGTGATGCCAAAAAATGGATTAGTACTATTCATAGTCAGCATCTGGAATAATCATCATACATGACATAGTATTATTAAAAGTTATTTTTTAAAATTATTATAATTATGCCACTATTGTGACAAGATATTGTAATCGTTGATTATGAATAACATTATGAAAATAATTAGGTTTCAAGCAAAAAATTCTTGACTTGTTCATAGTGTTGTGTGCATAGTTGAGCTATACTGTGGCTATGTTTAATCTTCATTTTTGAGTGAAACGAGTTTTATAATAGCGATTTTTTGAAGAGTGTATTTGATACCACCGTATTAAACTTGAAGGTTCAACTTTATTAAAGGATGTCTAATGCATTTATATGGATTGCCATGTAAATAGAATAGCTTCAAATCTATGTAAAATTGATATCTAGTTAATGGATGATCAAACCTAAAATTAGTTTCTATCATTCATTTCTTAAAATATAAAATAAAAATAAAATCACGTCTAAATTTGAAAAGAAAATAATATTTTTGTAATAATTTTATTCACAGTCGTTCACTACGACAGTCGCTTTATATAGCATACACGTGATAAATGGTTATTTTATGCATACTGTCATGTGTATATTACCTAAGGCGACTGTTTTAGTAATCAACTACAAATATCATTACTCATTTTTTTAATCACTCCTTCTATTAAAACTTCTGGGTCTAAATAGATGTCTATGTTTCGAACTTTACTAGGATATAGGGAGTAATAATTGAACTATTTGATTAATACTTAATCCTTCATATTGTCTATTTTTTCACGTTAGTTTGAGAGTCCCTATTAACTTACGTTGGAGATGAATTTTTCAAACACAATCCATTTTTTCTTAGTTGACACAACTCTTTTAGCAATCCAAAATTATACTGAAGATGCTGTTCGTATTCAAAAAATTTTGTGTTGCCAAATATTCCATTAGTTTTGATATGACAAATTAGAACGATCAAGTTGAAATAAAAATATTAAATTGAGTGATTTCCCCAAAAAAAAGAAGAAGATAGGCCTGTCATGGGCCCAAACTAGTTGGACCTTCAACCTGCAATACATAGTTGGGCCCAATTCATAGCCTTAGAAAGCATCACCGACTTGTGTGGGTTTGGGTTTGGGCCAATTTGGGCCCATTTCATAGCCTCAGAAACCATCATGTTTTGAGTGTGTTTGGACCAAGTTCCATGGAAGCACTGACTACAATGTGCAAGAACAAAATCTTGAAAGCAGGGCCGGGACAAGTGGCTAAGGGTATTTCCTTGGAACTACACTAAAAATGGCAAACATTTTACTGTGAAGAGCCTATCGGCAGCAATTTTAGCATGTGTTGGATTGATTTCTACAAGAATAAACCATCTTCTTCAAGGTAAAATCAGATTTATTAGTGTAAAAACGGGCTTCATATGTTGATTTCGCATTCGATTTAACTGTCCTGAATGTTCTAAGAATCTGTCCAGTCTTATTGCCATTCTCATCTTCTAGCTCCCAAGAATATATTTTTTCCGAAATTGTTGATGTGGTTGTTTAGTTTTCTCCTCGCCTTTAGAACCGGTAGCCCTTTAAGTGTAGTAGTCGGTGAAATACCCAGAAACAAGACCCCAGGTGGCTCCGCACCCATTTATCTGTGTTTATATTTTAATATATTGATTGCATGCTGGGTTATCGTTGTTAGAGAACTAGGTGTAATAAAAAATAATAATGCTATGCAGGGTAGGTGTGGGCATATCATATGTCATGTAGAGGAGACTAGTTTTCAAATGTTTTTATTTCTTAGGCTAATTTGGAAAATCAACCTTCTATTTAAGCTATAAAGCTATATTTCCCTGTAGAATGAGCTATAATTTCTTGTTTTTAATTGAAATTATAATTTAATGCACTGATTTGCCATCTAATAATATCTTCAAGGGACTTTTTAAATACGGGATGCTCTTTATTTTATAGAGTAACCCTTAAAATCATATTCAAAGAGACTCTTTAAATTAAAATTTTAATTTAGAGAATTCTATAATTAAATACATTCAAAGTGTTTCAATTTTCGAAGTAGGAAAATAATAAAATAATCTAGAGAAAACTAGTTAAAATAAAAGATAGAGAAAAATTATAAATATTTTTTGAGAGTAGTAAATTAATTGTTAAGTTTAAAGAGTTTATTGGAGTACTTCAAAATTTTAATTTTCTAAATTTATGGATGTTCTCCAAATGATAAAATGTACTCTTTAAAAAGTAAAGAGTTTCTTGGAGATGTTCTGAACACCGGTGGTGTAAAATAGCTTTACTCAACTATAATAAAAATTAGAAAGAAAGGGGTTCATGTATTTAGTTTTCCTTTTCTTGGAGTGAGAGGTTAGCAACTACAAAGAATGCAAATAAGTTGCTATGTTATTTTGTTTATGGTACATATTGCTTTTCGAAATCTAAATTACTTATAAAGTTTTTGAGAATATATGTTAGAATTTGTATATTCCATCTCTATAAACAGTCAAAATAAACATAAAAATATTTATTAAGTTTCAAGCTCGTTTGGAATTAATGGTGTGGTCAATGCCCATTAGTGCCTGGAAGTATCTTTTGCACATTTAGTACTAGAACTTGTAGAGGCAAGGTATGGTATCAGAATATTGTCAGTTATGGCGCCATGAGGGATGCTGATTACAAAAATGTAAACTATCGAACGAGAATTATCTATTCTTAAATTATAAATTTTGATGGAAAAGATGTTACAAATATCTCACAATGAATTTAGTTACCTTTTTTAAAAATTTAATCTCATGTTGTAGTTGATTGGCTTTGGCTTTGGATATTCAAAACATTAACAAAGAACCTTTATTTTATAGGTTGTTTGGAATGGGTTGGAAGGCAGCACAAAAACTCGTACATCACTGGAAGATCCTGAGAGGCGACAATGTAAGGAAAATGAAATCCGACTGTTTGTCTTTCCAAATGTTTTAGATCCTCTCTCGCGCTGCAAATAAATAGCTACTCATTTTCCCTTATCATATGCAGGTTATGATTTTACGGGGAAAGGACAAATGAGAGACTGGTATAATTAAGCGTGTTATACTCACTCAAAATCGTGTTATTGTTGAGGGCAAGAATTTGGTGAGTAAGTCTCTCTCTTTCTAATTTGTTCGCTACAGGAAGCATGGTTTTCCTGCTCCAGATGTTCTGCATGTACAGAACTGTAGTTTTTGGCTTACAACTTTTCCAGTTCAAATGGAACACGACCTAAAAACTCCTCTATATAATTTTTTTCCATTTTTTCTTCTCCTTTTTTTTTGTAGTTTTCCTTCCTTATCTTGAGTGAGTGGGTGGGTGGGGTTTTGTTTAGAATGGTTTGATATATAATAGCAATTGTTTCCTATTTGGATGAGCTTTAAAAACCAAATGATTGTACATCGTAGCAGTCCTATTATGATGATTTAGCATATATCATAGTTTCCAGACTCAGCCCAGATAATGACTGGTTATGTTATAGGGTCAACAAGTGGGTCATTGGTTCTACTGGTGGGTTGATGATTATATTATTATTATTATTATTAATCAAAAGTCAGTTGTTTAATACTTAATACAAATTATAAATGCGGTTTAATATAAAGATAGTTAAATATAGTTAGTTTTTCTCTGTTACTGAACAGTATTTATATATATATGATAGCCTGAAAATAAAAAAAATCAACAGCATGCATTATCCTAGTGATCAGCTGGTTAACATGAAACCATGGGTCTTGTGTTCGACTATTGCAGGGCCAGGCAAATGCTTTTTGCAAAAGACCATGAGTTGTCTGGTTCAACTAACTTGTGGGTCCGTCTATAGCAAAAAACCAGTCTCAACTGTCTTTGATTGGTTCAATGTCAATCCGATCTTTTTAGAGCATGGGGTGAGCCCATAATCCAGTTCACCAGGACTCTGGTTACACTGCAAATTTTGTGTATAATGTGTTCACTAGTTTAACAGAAATCATGTGTAATTTTTTTCTTTTAATCTTTTTTCCTTTGTCGGTGAGAGGGGGTTGGGGTGCAAGTTGTTGGTTTTATGGTTTAGCAGATTTATGACAGAGCTACACCAAAGACCATGCGCACAGGGAAAATTTTTGTCAAAAAAATAGAATAATAGTACCTCTTGCACCCTGGTTCAATACCATTCCTTCTCCTTTAGTGAAGTCTTGGCACTTCGCTAACTTATATTGTGTGGAAATTGTAGTAAAACCCAGGAAAGTCATGAATAGTGCTAGTATTGTACTTTAGGTTTTGTCGTCTATGGCAGTAAAATTTCTCGTTTAATTTGTTGAGTTTGTATTTTCTTCATGTGCCTGAGTCACTGTCACTGTTAAACTAGCCTCTGCAGGTGAAGAAGCACATCAAGCAAGGGCAACGTCAAGGTCAGGGGGGGGGGGGGGGGGTTATGGTGGAAGCCCCACTGCACGTCTCAAATGTCCAGGTTTTAGATCCAGTCACGGGTAAGATGTTGGTGTCTGATTGTTCTGATGTACCTGTGTTTTTTCTCGGTCAAATAGTGGATCATAGTTGGTTTTACAGGAAACCCTATTGTTGTTTCTAGAGTTTGAAGTTACTCCTTCGAAAACAATCCGACAGAATCACCTGAATGTAAGAAATGATTAACAGGATCCAAAATGTAATTCGAGCCCACCGACTTCACGATATTTCTTTAAAACGAATTTGCTACCTTCAATGGTGCTAAAGGCATCCAGCAATCATTTCTCAGGATAGAACGAATTTTCGTCTCTTACGGAAGCAGCACAGCAATTTGTAGGAGTTCCAACGAGCTCCACAAAGTGTATTTGACTTTGAAACAATATCAGAATGAGAGAGAGGAGAATAAGATTCAAAGCACAGAAAGTTTGCAATGAAAATGGTGTGAGTTTTCTGGCAGAGAGGCAGACTATTTATAGATTTGTTCGTGGCCATTCGAACAGTTGTCACCTTTCAGACAAACCTCAAAAACCCAAAACAGACATGTTGTTCTAAAGTCGCGTCTGTTAAGTCGGTTAACAGTCGGCTGTTTAGTCGGTTAACAGTCGACTGTTTGGTCGGTTAACAGACGACTGTTAAACAGTCCATCCAGACCAAAAAATCACCTGGAATAAGCCAAAAAATTTACATTTCATAATGTACCCAAGAATTTGATTATTTACAATTTTGCTTAAAAATTTAAATAAAATTTGTCCAAAAAACTTAGCATAGTGCAAAGGTCATCCCGCACCCGAACACGACTCGGACACGTGCACGTGCACGTGTTAGTGCCGTGCCGAGTCGGCCAGAAGAACGGTGGCGGCGACGACGTGCGCGTGTGGGTTTATGACCGAACCCAATAGGATACAGGTCTTCCCCCTTCCAAAGACTATTGGTACCCCTTGGGGCCCAAACCCAATTTCCAAACTTCCACCTTATAAACCACACTAAAGTTTCCTAACTTTCCTATGTGGGATAAGTGTTTGGAAAATCAAATTCTTCCATAATACTTAATTTTATGTGGGTTACTTTAACACTTAATATTTCATTCAATTCTAAATGGTTTTCCATAAATAAATATATCACGTTAATCATCTCGCGGAGTAGAAGATGAATATGCTTGGTCCTGTATTAATTAAAAGGTGGGTCCTACTGAAATTTGGGCTCAAATTTGATCCATTTCATAACCATTTTTTCAACAATCCCCCACATAAATGAAATATGTTGGTCTTTTCCAAACAGTAACATCTAATATGTTTTTCAAAATAAAAATTGAAGAAAACTGCATCGGAATAAGTAGTCAATGACTTTGAACTTTCCCTAGTAAAATCTTTCGAATTTCCTTAGCCAATCAGTAGCAAGTTGCTTTGAACAGTCAGCCGTTCATGGAAACCTAAACAATAGAAGTAACACAGTTATCTTCGAACACAGTTGGTTCTCATGTTTGTGTCCATTTTGGCCTTGGACACCTCCTGGTTCATGAGTAGTTTTTAGATAATTCATCTTCACCTAATTTTCTTAGAAGCAACCCCTTCTCACTCACATAGGTGATTTCCATAAAGAGTATTCTGCTATACTCCACTTGAACGAATCAAGATATAGAAATAATTAAAACCGTATCTTATCCTATTTCGTGGCAGCTAGGCACTGGTTCATCATAGGAATGGGTAGGAGTAAAGTCTTCCCAGTGCATACTAAGTTTTTAACAGTTTGATTGTCCCATTGAACCTAGATCTTGAGATCTCCAGTCAACTAGGTTGGGTTGCCACCATGGAAACTTTTGATTATTTTATTAGTTTTAATCTCATCCCCTTCGATGAACTTTCGACTTGCTCTCTTGTTAAACTTTTAGTTAGTGGATCCGCAATATTCTCTTTTGATTTCACATACTCTATAGAGATAATGCCAATAGAGAGCAATTGTCTAACAGTATTGTGTTTACGGCGTATATGTCGAGATTTACTGTTATACATTGCATTTTGTGCCCTACCAATTGCTGATTGACTATTGCAATGGATACATATAGCAGGCACAAGATTTGTCCAACATGAAATATCTTCTAGAAAGTTTCGTAGCCATTCGGCTTCTTCTCTAGCTTTGTCTAATGCAATGAATTCAAATTCCATTGTTGATCTAGTTATACATGTCTGTTTTGAATATTTCCATGATACTGCAGCACCTCCAAGTGTAAAGACATATCCACTTATTGATTTGGAGTCTTTAGTATCTAATATCCAATTTGCATCATAGTATCCTTCAAGTACTGCTGGATATCTCGAATAGTGCAATCCAAAATTTTGGGTATGTTTTAAATACCCTAAAACTCTAACAATAGCCTTCCAATGATCAGTGCTTGGATTACTCTTATATCGACTTAGCCTACTAATTGAATAGGCAATAGCATGTCGAGCGCAATTCATGACATACATTAAACTGCCAATAATACGAGAGTATTCCAATTGAGACTTACTATCACCAGTATTGGAAACAAGATGCATACTAACATCCATACGTGTTTTCATAGGAATAATATCATATTTCTTGAATTTATCAAGAATTTTCTCAATGTAGTGTGATTGAGATAATATGAGACCATCAGATGTTCTAAAATTTTAATTCCTAGTATAACATCAACCACACCTAAATCCTTCATTTCAAATTTACTTGTTAGCATCCTTTTTGTAGTTTGAATTATGGTATCATTGTTACCCATAATCAACATGTCATCTACATATAAACATACCATGACATATCCATTTGGAGTGTTCTTGACATAAACACATTTGTCACACTCGTTAATTTTAAAACCATTTGACATCATAACCGTATCAAATTTTTCATGTCATTTCTTAGGAGCCTGCTTTAATCCATATAGTGATTTAACAAGTCAACACACTTTCTTTTCTTGTCCTGAGACCACAAATCCTTCATGTTGCTCCATATAAATTTCTTCATCTAATTCCCCATTCAAAAAAGTTGTTTTAACATCCATTTGATGTATATTCAAATCATTCAATTCTGCTATTGCAATAAGCATACGTATGAAAGTGATTCTTGTCAGAGGAGAATATGTATCGAAATAATTAAGACCTTCTTTTTGCTTGTAGCCTTTAGCGACAAGTCTTGCTTTATATTTGTCAATCGATCCATCTGCTTTCATTTTCCTTTTAAAAATCTATTTACATCCCAAAGGCTTATTATCGGGAGGGAGGTCTACTAATTCCCAAGTATGATTTTGTAATATGAATTCAATTTTATTATGAACAGCTTCTTTCCAATATGAAGCTTCAGTTGATGACATAGCCTCTTTAAAACTTTGAGGTTCATTTTCTAACAAGTATGTTAGAAAGTCAGGCCTAAAGGAGGTTGGCGTCCTAGCCCTCTTACTTCGTCTAGGTTGTTCATATATAGATTCTTAATCTATAGTCTCTTCATTTTCACGAGATCTCTTTTGTGAATTTGATTCACCTTGCATATTATAAGGAAAAGTATTTTCGAAAAATGTAGCATCCCTTGATTCAATAATCGTATTAACATGCATATCGGGTATTTCAGACTTATATACCATAAATCTGTACGCATTACTATGGTAGGCATAACCAATGAATACACAGTCAATGGTTTTAGATCCTATCTTAACCCTTTTAGGTTTAGGAACTACTACCTTAGCCAAACATTCACATACCTTCAAGAATTTATAATTAGGTTTGTGACCTTTTCATACTTCATAAAGTATCTTATGCGTTTTTTGATGTGGTAGTTTGTTAAGAATATAGTTAGCAGAAAGCAAGGCTTCCCCCCACAAGTTCTACGGTAATCAAGAACTTATTAACATAGCATTCATCATCTCCTTCAATATTCGATTCTTGCGTTCAGCAATACCATTAGATTGAGGAGAATAAGGCGCAGTAGTTTGATGAATAATTTCGTGTTCCGAACAAAATTTCTCAAATGGTGAATCATATTCACCACCTCTATTACTTCTTATGGCCTTAATCTTTTTACTAAGTTGATTTTCAACTTTTAACTTGTAGTGTTTAAACGCTTCAATTGCTTCGTCTTTGCTTTTGAGCAAATACACATAGAAATATCGAGTACAATTATCGATAAAAGTGATAAAGTACTTATTACTTCCCCCAGTTTGAACAAATTTTAAATCACATATGTCAGTGTGAATTAAATTTAGGGGTTCAGTACTTCTTTCAATAGAACGAAAGGGTAAATGTGACATTTTGGCTTCTACACATATATCGCATTTGTGATTAGGATTTGAATCACACTTTGGTAATAAATCTAATTTGATTAATCTATGCAAAGTGTTATAATTTGTATGTCCTAATCGTTCATGTCAAATGTTAAATGACTCGATTCTTATTCATAATTGGAGGTACAATAGTCATTACATTCAACTTAAAGAGCTCCTCATTCAGGTAGTCCTTTCCTACAAACATTTCATTCTTTAAGAGTACAAATTTGTCTGAGACAAATACTAGTTTAAACCCGTTCTTACTTAGTAGAGAACCAGATACCAAGTTTTTCCTAATATCGGGCACATGAAGAACGTCATTCAAAGTGAGCTCTTTTCCACTTGTCATTTTTAGCACTATCTTCCCATGTCCTTCTACCTTGGAAGATGACGAGTTTCCCATGTAGAGATGTTCATCATGATCCATCGCTTTGTACGTAGAGAACATCCCGCGATTTGAGCATATGTGACGAGTAGCTCCAGTATCCACCCACCACTCCTTAGTGTTTCCAGCTAGTTACATTCACAGACAACCGCAGAAAGATTCATGTCTTGTACCTTATCAATGAGGTTCTCATGTTCTGTTACATTGGCCTGGTGAGTTTTTTCCTTCACATTCTTTGGCTTTCGACAATTTTTGGATTGATGTCCTGCCTTGCCACAATTGTAATAGTTGCCTTTAAACTTTTTAACAGTTTTTGAAGAATCAGTTTGTCCTTCACCATTGTGCTTCCTCTTTTTGCTAGTCTTGAAGCCTCCTTCTACAATGTTGATTTTTGATTCCATCGAATGAGATGCACCATTCCTTTTTTCAGTTTTGCGATTTTCTTCTTCTATTCTCAATCGGACAATGATATCTTCAAGTTTCATTTCCTTCCGCTTGTGCTTTAGGTAATTCTTGAAATCCTTCCATGAAGGCGGTAATTTTTCAATCAGTGCAGGGACTTGAAAAGATTCACTTAGTTTCATTCCTTCGGCATGGATGTCGCTAAGTATGATTTGAAGTTCTTGAACTTGGGATATGACAGTCTTGCTGTCAACCATTTTATAGTCCAAAAATCGACCGACAATAAATTTCTTCGTGCCGGCATTTTCGATTTTTACTTGGTGTCTAAAGATTTCCATAGTTCTTTTGCGGATTTCATATTGCAGTACACATTATATAATGTGTTGTCCAATCCATTAAGTACATAATTTCTGCACAGAAAATCAGAATGCTTCCATGCATCAATTGCAGCCAATTTTTCAGCATCACTGTCTTGCTCGGTATATGAAGGCGCATCTTTTTTGAGAAATTTAGTCAGATTTAATGTTGTCAGATAAAAAAATATTTTTTGTTGCCAACGCTTGAAATTTGACCCATTAAATTTTTCTGATTTTTCCCCGTTCGTATTCGGGAGTGTGGTACCAGAAGTTGTCATTTCTGAAACACAATCAGAAGATCAACTGTAAAAAGGAGTAGAAACAGAAACAGAATAATAGCGAAGTTCGTTTTAAGATTGTTGTTTCTAGAGTTTGAAATTACTCCTTCGAAAACAATCCGACAGAATCACCTGAATATAAGAAATGATCAACAGGATCCAAAATGTAATTCGAACCCACCGACTTCACAATGTTTCCTTAAAATGAATTTGCTGCCTTCAATAGTGCTAAAGGTATCCAGCAATCGTTTCCCAGGATAGAACGAATTTTCGTCTCCTACAGAAGCAGTACAACATTCTGCAGGAGTTACAACGAACTCAACGAATTGTATTTGACTTTGAAACAATATCAGAACGAGAGAGAGGAGAATAAGATTCAAAGCACAGAAAGTTTCCAATGAAAAAAAAAATTTAATTTCATAATGTACCCAAAAATTTGATTATTTAGTCCAAAAAAGTTAATATAGTACAAAGGTCCTCCCGCACCCGCGCACGTGCTGGACGGACGACGGTGCGCGCATGTGTTTATGACCGAACTCAATAGGATATAGGTCTTCCCCCTTCCAAAAACTATTGGTACCCTTTGGAGCCCAAACCCAATTCTCAAACTTCCACCTTATAAACCACACCAAAGTTTCCTAACTTTCCTATGTGGGATAAGTATTTGAAAAATCAAATTCTTCCATAATACTTATTTTTATGTAGGTTATTTTAAAACTTAATATTTCATTCAATTTTAAATGGTTTTCGACAAATAAATATATCACGTTAATCATCTCGCGGAGTAGAACGTGAATATGGTAGGTCTCGTATTAATTAAAAGGTGGGTCCTACTGAAATTTGGGTTTAAAGTTGATCCATTTCATAACCATTTTTCCAATAACCCTGTAAGGTTGAATACAGATATTTGGAAGATGGTACCAAAGTAAGAGTTTCTAGAGGTATTGGAGCCTTAGGATCTACGATTCCTCGCTCAGAAATCTTGAAGATTAGGACCACGCTAAGACCAACAGTTGGTAATATTCAAATACTCTACATTTGTTCGAGTGTTTGTGCACGTGCTTGTTTATTATGCTTATTTCTGCCTAAGGCACGATGTCTGCAATTGGAAATCATATCCAACTGTTGCATAATACACATGGATCTATTTTATGGTTTCCGTTTTAAGAATCTCTGTCACCTATGATCTTAGATGTGACTTGCATGTTCAGTCATTATAGTGAATAGGGGCATGCTACATAATATATACTTAATATGCCCAAGTTTAGAGATGATATGATTCCCTCCAGGTGTGAGCAAATTTATCATAGGATTCGTTAGAGTCCCAGTTCAGTTGAAGTGAAATTTTGTAATATTTTGGCTTCCCAACACTTTTAAATTGAAACAAACAGATTCTGAACAATGGTAGTCTTAAAAGACCTTTAGGAAAAGCATGAAAAAAAGGCTTGAATGGTACTATCCCTCCGTCACCCCCAAAATGAAAGAGGTGCCTACACTTCTTTTTTTATTTTTAGTTTATTTATTTGTTTTGTTTGGAAGTGTCTACATTTTTGAGTGCTTGTTTTAATTCGTAATCTGTGAATCTAAATGTGGAATCCAATAAATAGAATAAGAGAACTAATAGAATTAGGACCCGTTTGGCATGACTTTTGAAAAGTCAAAATGAGTTTTTTAGACCCAAAAATTGCTTTTGGACTCATTTGGCTAATTTTATTAAAAAAAATTTGATAGTTAAAAGGGTTTTTAAAGAAAGTTGGTTTAATATGCATTCCTTTAAAAATTCTTTCGGAATGGAAAGTGTTTTTAAATACTAGTTATCAAACAAAAATTACAGTAGTTTCCTTCTAAAACTCTTCTACTAGAAGCAAAAGCAAAAGCTCAAACGGGCCCATAGTGTTGTTCTACATGGGTGGAGAAGATGAAGTCAGAACCCTTTTCTTTTTCTCTAGATCTAGGGTGATCCTGTGATGGAGAGGGGAAAAGGAACTGAAATTTAATATGAAACCTTAGTTATGGAGTGGTTTAATTTTATGACTTACAGTTCCTCTTTTACCTAATTGCAACTTCTGAAAATAACTTTCCTTTTATTTGCTTGGACTATGGAAAGTACATTTCCTCGTCCTTTTGGCTTGAAGGCAGTTGAGCTCAAAATGCAAAGTCGAAATTTCTTTATTGTTACTAATTTGTCTAATACGATTTGCTGGTTTAATTTGATTTCTTTGTGCAGTTGGTCCAAAGGATACTCCGTTGAATTTAATATCGGACAAGACATATGACTCTAAAACTGGAATGGGAATGCCAGATCTGTAAGAACCCATCTTATTGTTTTTCATGGAGTTACACAGTCCTTTCAGATGATGAAAGACAGAAGGAAAATGAAAGCTCAGGGATCTGTTGTTTACAAGTTACTTAGTATCTGATTCCTTTTTTCACTCGTGGGAGCAATGTTTTAAAAACCGACCCAGGCATTGACCCTGAAAATGAAGAGAGTTGAGGTTTAAAGGGTCGAATCGGGATTGAACCGTTATCAAACCGGATGATAAATTAAATAAATAAATATACAAATAAACTATAAAATATCATAACTATATTAGATTTTCTTAATTTTAGTTTTCTCATTCAAAGTAAATATAATCCATGTTTGTTAATTAGATTTATTGTAGTAATTTATTTTATAACCTGAAAAACTAACAGTTAATATGTCCAAAATAATTTGATTTGTTCAAATTGAAAATGTTTGTGATTATAATCTTGTTTAGAGTTATGATTTGTTAATGAAAATAATAAAATAAACTAGTAAACACATATAATTGAGAATTGACTATTTCATATTGGAAGATTACCACAAGAAGGATATTCTTTAAAAAGAAGCTAGTATCTAGCATTGAAAAATTATTAAAACATTGAAAGAAGGGTTTCTTTCAAAAATGAGCTAGAGAAGAATCAATAGTATAAAAAAATTATTTTGACCTTCTATTGCAATCAGTGATCCATCAAAGACGGTTAAAAAATTTTATGAAATAAAAAAAAAATTATATTACCTGGGAAAAATCAGAAAAACCGTGGTCGGGGTTCACGGTTAAACCAATGGGATTGATGGTTTATTAGTCGATTTTTTCCCCTTTAATATATGGGTACCAGACCGAATTAGAGTACACAGTTTCTCCAGTTAAATCGATCGGTCCGGTCCCTTTCTATTGTTGGATATTGGTTAAATAAATTGAGAATTGAAAATCGATTAAAGTTCGTATCGAATTCGGCCAAATACTCAAAAGCTCGACTCAATCCGTTTAGGCAAAATTGTTTGCCACTTCGCCGCTTCGGGGCGCACAAACGGGGATCGACCTGTCCGGTCAGGTCGCGAGGGTCGAGGGGGCAGCGCCCCTCGTGGGTGGTCGGGGGCAACGCCCCCGAAAGAGAATTTTGATTTCTCTGCATGTATTGAAGGGTATATTTGGCATTTCGAAAACCAATATCGGATGAATGAGAAATTACGAAAAGGACCTCAACCATTAGTGAATAGACACCTTTTCATAAAAGTGCATTGTTTGGAAAGGGTGCATGGTTTGGCCTCAACCATTAGTGAATAGACACCTTTTCATAAATATGCATTGTTTGGAAATGGTGCATGGTTTGGTCTCAACCATTTCGTCCACACCCCTTCATGGTCTATAAATAGGACCCTTTGGGTGTCCTATTCCTCACAGTTTGATATGCAAAAACGTCTCTCATCCTCTCTTCTATCCAAAATCAAAATCATTTCATTTATTTTGATTTTCTTTCATTTCATCCTTAGAGTACATAAGCCTAAATTTGGTTCGTTGTACTTGTGTTTTGGAGTGCTACAAACACAAGTGTAGCCGTTGTATCTTGGGAGTCGATTGCCGAAATCCGTAGGCACCGTTGCGGGGCAAATTCGACTTAAGGACAAAGAGTCCAACTCTTGCCTCGGCTTTGTCACCATCATTATACTTATTTCAGCGTCACTATTCACAAAATTCATCCAACATCTATAACATTGCTCTTGATTGTCACTTTAAGAATAAAATGGATTCTTTTCATTGCTACATTTTTTATATCTGTTTGTTCTAGTAGACTACCTTAAATTGAACATCTTTATTATCCAAGAAAGACAATCGATCTGGGAAATTAGACCATTTACCAACGGATGGAAGCGAATACTATGATTTTGCAAACAGCAGCTGTATTTCAAGCTGAGTTCATGAAGATAGTTCGCGTGCTGTAGAGATGTACGATCTCCTTCAATTTAAAATTTTGAAATTTTTTAGGCATGCTTGCTCGTAAAAAAATAAAAAATTTGCTTCATTCCTATGAATATGAATGTTAAGGAGTATGAATGAGTTGATGGTGAAAATGAATGGAAAGTTGTAGAAATTAGAGATTCTATTGTAAATACCTTAAGCTTTATTATGGGTTCAAAATGAATGCATAAGGAAATAGGTCTCTGATGTTCAAAAAAGGAAAAGGAATAAGAAAACAGGTTTCTAGATAGCAACGAGACAAGCATCGACCTTCATTTATTAATATCTATATGTGAACGTGTTTATTTTATGAGTAATATTATTTAACAACATTGGTATTAAAATACAAGATTATATATGCGGTACTAATATGAAGTTAAATGAGAGTTATTATTAGATTGATTATTTAATTTTAAATTTCATGAAGTCTGTCGCTTACATATCATGTTAAATAACATTATTCTTATTTATTTCGTATTCTGTACTCCCATCTATGTTCAGGTCTTGTTTCAATAATACGTTAAATCATCATAGATTTTTTCACACCCCCGAACTCTCCATGTGTTATTTCAGGTTAAATTACAAAAGATCTCGAGTTTCATTCCAAGACAGTCTATTACAAGTAAGAAACTAAAAATCCTATTATGTGTGAGATGGACAAATATAGCCCTTATTTGGGCTTCAATAAAATCAAATTTTCAGTTAAAATGTATTTTGAAATAATGATTTTTTAAAGAATGTAAGGTTATAAAAGAATTAAAAAAAAAAAATTGGATTTAGGTATAATATTATTTTATTGGAAAACGTGTAGTTGAAAAAAAAAGAAAAAAATGCATTAAATTAAAATGGAGTCCAAACAGGGTCATAGTCCTATTTTAATTAGGATATTATCAAGTTAAAATTCTAACAATCTCCATCACGACCTTCGATTGCCTCAGTTCTTCAAATAGGAATTCTTTCATGTTTCTTCAGAATCGAATAATGCACTTCCATCACAATCTTTTCTCTTTCACCCTCTTGATCATGCCACTCGAAAAATTCTGATGAATATTTTTATTTACAGGCAAACACAGAAAATAGCTATACCCCCTCCATAACAAGTATTTTATACTTAGAATCAACACATTTTAATAATTTCAATCTGTTAATGACAGTGTCAGTATCTCTAATTAATGACTTTGAGCAATTAATCAAATGTGATTTAAACTTTTTAAATAATTTTCTTGAAGTACCTTATCCTAGATAATTTTCTTGAAATGTCCAGATTGCCTACATCTACCAAAAATAGGCAATACTCTTCTTACCAAATTCTCATGCAATTTGAATTGGATCAAAACATCATTCACTTCCATTTGTTACAAGATTTTTGTCAAACTTCTCCACAACGTATTTGACACTTGACGTATATTTTTCTATGCTCCACCACTTGGGATTATTCGACGCTCTGATATTACTATTAAAAACTGATATTATTTCCTCTATTTGTCCTCAGAATCCTTGTTAGGATAAATATTAATAAATGTTGGTATATTTTTCAGTCCCAAAAATTCACAACAAAGAATAACCAGAAAAATAAAAAAAGGAACACCAAGAATTTTTCGCTCGTAGGCCTGGATGTTCACCCAAAATGGACTACTCACCACGTTGAGCATCCACCGTAGTAGTTATCGCTCCAATCAACTAGAAATAACCAGTAAAAGTTTCAATACAAGGTTACAAAACCAAGAATCACACAAATCTGCACTCAGACTTCCATTTTTCTCGAAAAACCCTAACTTCAGAAACGATTACATCGAGTAACCCTAAACAAACTGTTCAACACGAGCAGAAATAGAAACCTCATTGTATAAGCACTCTAAATCTCGTCAAGAATATCTAGATTACAAAAGTTTTTAGAAAACCCAGAGGTTTTCAGAGAGAAAGACGAAGAAGAGAGAAAACCCTAGAAGTCTCTCGAAAATCTAATTGCCCTGCCCAACGAAAAGTCACAGGAAGTATATATATATATTAGCATGCATCCAGCGGTTGTAAAGGCTCCATGTGTTATGATATATAAACCATCCAATTTGAGAAAACGCGTTTAACAAAAAACACGCCTTTGTCCAATTTAAACAATCGGGTCACATTCTTTTAATTGATCCAATACTTGGGCTGCATCATTGGGCCTCCAAAAATGTCAAGCACCATTTTTAACAAACAAATATATACAAATAAATGGAAACTAACAACACAAAGATATGCGTGAAAAACTTCAAACCTGAAGCAAATCATGAGCTATCAAAGACAGAGACATTCTAATATATTAAAATTTTATACAAACATAATAAAATTTTCACATAGTTTAAATACATAAACACATTCGAGGATATTAATATTGGATGAGACTACAAAAGGTTCTCAAATATTATCAAAAGATAGTCCATGACTATTTCAAACTTGGAATAAATAAAATATTAAGGGACATAAAAAGCGGGCCTATTGACTTCTATATTATATAGGATTCATAACAATTGCATTGTAAGTGGAAGCTAAAAAATTATATTTAGTTAGGACAATATCAAATCAAAAATTAAATTATATATTCTTTTATCACAAATGTTCGCATAACGATAGGCAGGCTATGAAAATATGCATGATATCCAATTGAAGTTAATTTAATCACCACCCCACCATGCACGTATAGGTGGCATGAAAGTGAAGACCGTTTTTCATATTTTTATTACAATATGATTTGCGTGTTATAATAAAATTTCAGCCAATAGGAAAGAGTTTCTAGACATTTCTAATCCATGTTATAGTTGCATTACAAAGGCAAATTTGACATTGCACGATATTGATGACTACCATTGATGTGACACTTTCATGTCGAACTTGATCGACATATTGTGTTTAATAATTGAAAGAGAAATGCTATGAGTAAAGAATGTTTACACAGAATTACATGAGACAGTCTGCCCGTATAAAACCTGTAAAAATAATTCTGTACTTATAAAATTTTTGTAATTAGTATGTTTATAATTTTCATAAAGTGATATTCAATAATTTATATCAGAGAGAATGTTTAGCTTGACCTCTATTTTTTTGAAGACTTTTGCTTCCTTATATAGGCCTTAGGGTAGGAGCTCATCGCCATCTTCAAGTTACATTATCATTCGCAAGACGTGTACTGTTGTTCCATTTGCAATGTTTTAGGAGTTAGGCGAGGCTAGACCATTCATGACATCTAAGTCGTGGACTATGATTTAGGCCATCTTTTTTTGCAACCTAAGCAATTATTGCCTCCTTCTCATTGATGGAAATGAAAATGATGAC